TAATTCATTCTCAATGTGTTCTTTCACTGTTTGAATTTGCTGTCTCATGTTTTCTTTAAGATTCCATTCCATCTGTCTAAGGTATTCCTTGTGTTCTTTATTTGATCATTTTTCTGATGCCTCTATGTCCTCCTGTATATTTAGGCTGTCCTGCATCGTTTGTACTCCTCTTCTTCCTTACTTTTTCATGCTGCTCATGTTACTTCTTGTTCTGTTTGACTGCTGAGTTACTGTTTACTTTTATAAAATTATTTGGTTTTGTGTGTCTCTGGGGTCTCTCTTTTGTGATGGGAGACTATGACTAAAGATGATGAGTTTTGTTGCACTTTAATGCACATTCATTCATTTCTTAAACTGTGTACAGATTCTGATGGCATATAGCAGTCTGCGATTTAGTCTTGGGACTTATATTTAGGTCAATGATGTGATGGTATTGAGGTTGGTATCTCTTGGCAAACTTGGAAAGTTGCTCTACTGTCAAGGGATATTAACAAGAGAATGGTCTGGTGTATTTGGGGGTAGCTAGGGACTTGGTAGCACTATATAATGACTCAGAACATTTACCTATGCACATTTAGTAAATTACACATAAACAGCATCGTGATGCTTGGGAGGAAAGGTATTAGAAGGAAAGGGAAGAAGTCACTAAGGATATTGAGAGTAAACAGGTTGAATTCAAGGAAAGGGAAATAAGGAACTTAAAAAGAAATGAAAAGACAAAAGAAAAAATAGAAAAGAAAAAAAGAAAAATTTTAAAAATAATCAAAAAAATTAAAATAAAAAATAAAAATAAAAAACAATTAAAATAAACAAATAATAATTTAAAAAATTAAAAAGTGCAGTCTTAGAGTTCAATTAACTTCTCTTCCAGGAAGTGGAGCTGTGCCCACGGGGCCAAGCTTCTCCTCTCAATGCACGAGAACCAATCACTGTGCAGCAGCTCCTCCTCCCTGATTGGGCGGGTCTCCAATCTTGATGCCTAGGGCCCTTTCTTATGTCTAGATACTTCCCCACTTTTCCTCCAGCCAGGCCTCGCTCATTGGTGATGCTCACTACAATACTGTCTACATGCCAGGTCGGCTGCTCCCAGGAGCCCTATTTTCTTGAAGGACTGGGCACACTCTCCCTGTTTGCCAGTCCCTCAGACCCTAAGGTTGTGGAGCTTGGGGCTGAGAACCCTCAGCGTATTTTGCTTGCCCTCCGGTAGCCACATCCCCGGTAGCTAGTGCAAGAGACCTCAGTTGTCAGCACTGGTAGGAGCGGTAGCCAGGAGTCCCGTGCTGCGGGTTCCACACCACTGTTCCCTTGGTCTGACTCTCACGCTCACGGGAGAGCTGGGAGGGGCCCTTGAGGTTACCCTTCTATGTGGAGTGGGGGGTTAGGGGGTTACACACCTGCTGCCGCTGGTTTCAATTTAGTTAACTCTTCCGCCACATTCTGGTGAGGTCAGTTCTCTGCCATGGCAATATCCCATGCAAATGGCAATAGTTCTTTCCCTTTTCCTGGTGACTGATGCAACGGGTGGGTCCTGACAGGCTCTCCCAAGCCCCATCTCAATCCTGTGGCCACTGCCTATGGAGGCTGGGTTGGCATTAACCTCCGCAGGATCAGGAAAAGCTGACCAGTTGTTTCAGCGGGATCGTTTAGTGCTGATTCACAGCGGTTTTTCTGCAAGATGCAGGTGAACAGGAGCCTAAATTCAGCCACTCCAGGCTTGGTGTGCTTTCTGAGAGGCACAGATTGTCGCTCCAGATGCACGTCAGCTCAGCATTGCCTAGTGCTCCTGAGCAAACAGCATTTCGATGGTTTAAGACTCCCTATGCCCATGCAGCTGAAGATGTCAGAGACTTGATCTCTCTGCACCCGCCACCATGTTGGATCTCTCCCAAGTAATTCTTGAGAGTAAATTTCCGTTTTCTTTTTTTTTCCTGCTTTGAATCAATAACATCAGATATTTGAGTCACTTGTAAGTTAAACTTGAAATCCCAGTGAGCTTTAAGGAAAACTTTTATTGACAGTGTATTCAAGCTATATCCTCTCTTACATGTCACTCACCCTACTCTTGTATTTAATATCCCTCTTAAAGTTGCCTGCCACTTCCCATGGCCCATGGGCTATTCATCTAATCAGCTGTTGAAATTTATGTGAACTGTCCCACTGCACCAGATATCTGTCCCACCCAAAAGGTGAATACCTAGTATCTGGGCTATCACAGGGGAACACAAAATTCCATTTGCTTTATAATCTAGTTTTAAATAATTCTTTATATTTGGACTTTCAGATTATACCTATTCTTGTAAATATTTCTAAATATTTAAATTAATGTTTATCTTAATTTATCCAGAAGTTAGAACAGGATTCCATCTTACTAACTATCCTGCCCTACAATATGCAGAAAAAAAATATTCACATCATTCATGTTACAAGATTCTCAGACACATGTGACATAGATAATAGATTGTTAAAAAAAAGCATTTTTGAGAAGTTTTGATTTTTGTCTGTGTGCTTTGCATGTTACTATTAATATTCTGCTATAAAAATAAAAATTCAAATATTATTTTATTATTTTTAGATGGAAATA